CCACACCCTCCTCTCTTTAGGGTATGAGGATTAGCTTTTAGCGCCCGCGCTTGTGTCGCGACTGTCAGGTGTTTTGACTCTGAGCGGATATCATTGTCGGGTATTGGGGGTCAAAATATGAAAGAAGGCGAAAATTCGACTTCTACTGCCTGGACAACCTGGCCTAAATTTCAAAGCGTGGACCAGCGAAGGGTCACGGGTGCCTTTTAATGTTTTTTCTTCTATGTGCATGTCAGTTCTGCACCCCTGAAACTAGCGGCTTGGACTCGTTTAGGTAAAAGGTTACGGTACGCACTTAATGAATCATCTGAAGGACTATCAAGTGAAATGTGGAAACTACCATTTGCTGACTTTTGCTGACGAGTTTGCTATTGGATATTTCAGGTTGGGTAGTATTTTTGAGCTTCTTAATAAAAACTAAATGGTAGATTTACAGTAAGCAAGGATTTTCTGAGAAAGTGGAAATGCCCAAGAAACTGTATCAAGGCTACATCAAAGAGTATGAGGGTGCCACTCTAATGGGATGCCAGCTCCATCCCCAGTAAGCTTTAAGTGCTACCAGTCAGTCATAAGTAGTACATGAAGTTTTTTATTTGTAGGATGAAGTACACCGAATTCTCGTCGTATATGAAATCTGTTCGCGATTTGCAACAAGCCATGAATGAAGGTTAAATACCCGAATAAGACACGTAAATACGGTGGAATAGAGCATATTTTCCGCTTCCATGGTGGGACTAACATATTTTGTTTACATTGTTATTGGGTTGTCATCTCCTTTGAAATGATTTAGGTCATAATATTGTCCGATTCAAAGAAATACCTGGTCTCGAATATTACGACGATGACGATAATCCTGTGAAAGACGACGATTTGGAAAGTAAAATGAAGCTTATTCTGAAGAAGCTCAACGGCGATAAGTGGAGCTGGCCGTTCCTAGCGCCAGTTGATGGAGAAATGGTGACAAAGTTTTTTCTGAGATTCTCTTTCACATGAATGGGTTTCGCTGTTTACTTATAACTTTCCTGCTTGGGTTACTCAAAGGTAACGTGGTGGCGTCTCCGAAAAAATGTTCGAAACAAAAACCTCCT